TTATTTCCCCTCTTTCACAGTGATTTTCTAGGTGCATAAAAGTTAAGGATGTTAAGTATCAGTAATTGACTAATCGACTAATCAATGTATTTTGCATCGACTATTTGATTACTCGATAGGGGGCCTCTGCCTTTGAAGTGAGGCAACAGCCCTAGGGCTGTTGCTACACTTCAAAGGTGAAAGCGCCATGTAGAACCCAGGGTCAGCAGGGGAGCCCCCAGCTGATCCCAGGCTCCACTCAGTGCTGCCGCTTTGAAATGCTCCGAGGAGCCTGATGCCAGGCTCCCTACGGTGTTTTAAAGCGGTAGCACTGCAGAGAGCCTGGGGTCAGCTGGAGTTCTCAGCTGACCCCCAGCTCCACGCAGTGCAGCCACTTTGAAATGCCCTCTCTTCTCCTGCCTTCTTGCTGCCTCTATAGAGGCAGCAGGGGTGTGTGTGGCGGGAGGGGGGGGAGGAAGCGGAAGAAACGGAAGAAACTAGTTGACTATCCTGTCAAGTATCTGATAAGCATTTGCTTATCGGATCGTCGACTAGTCCTTCACATCCCTACTAAAAGTCAGATGTGATGTTCAGAGTCACCACATCCAATTCCTTTTGTGTGTCCAGGACTTGGTCTTCGACCTACAGTCAGAAGGAGAAAGCTGATGTGAACTCCACAGGCTGCACTGGATCTTTGGGCCATAGGGTAAGCAACTCAGCAATTGGTCAGTGCTTTACCTCACTCAGCTGAGCTTGTGCAGTACGATATTCTTGAACCAAATGCTCTAACTGGTTGTTGATATACTTTTCCCGACTGTTGACCTTTTCGAGGGTCCTACTGATTTCATTATGAAGTTTGTCAAAGTAACCCTGGAAAATGATATTCTGCAGGTAAGATTATACTTTATATAGAAGACAAACATTGTTAAAACCCCTCTAATCCAGAAAGGATACTGCATCATAGGAATAAGATGAAAAAAGAATTACTGGGACACTTGGCTCCTACGATAAGGTTCTCTAGCAGATAGTCTAGCCGAGATTCAAATTTCTTAAACACTGCTCCTACCATTTCCCCGATTATTCCTGTCTATGAAGTCTCACCATCAGAAAGTTATTCTGATGACAGTAGTTAGTATAAATTTTCCTTTTAAAAATTTCCTCCCATTATTAAGAAGTGTTCTCCATTATACTGTATTTAATAATAGTTCCTCGTCATTCTCGGGATGAACATACTTCAAATACTTGTATGCAGTTGTGTCCCCAATTAGTTATTCTTAGCAAATTATACTTTACTTCCTGAATAATTTCTCCTTTGTCAATCCCCCAGCCCTCAATCATATTGATTTCATTTCTCCATAGTGCTGTAAAACATTCCCAAGAAAACTGATTCAAGCAATTAATATCTATCAAAGAGGGCAGTTTAAAAAAAACAGCTGAGAGGCTATTAAAGTAGAATACTCTGCATGTATAAAACATACCCTCGTCTCTTTTAAAGCAGATTCAATTCCATCTTTGTGCTGATGCATTTGATCTACGTGGATCCTCCAATCCTAAAAATACATCAGAAAGTTAATATAATGCCTAAATTATAAATTCAGATAATGGTGGTAAGCATCAAAGAGCTAAAGTGACTTGTGTGCAACTCACAGTTATTGTCATATCTGCCCATATCTATTGAGCACTATTGCTCTGTGCAATTACACAGCTGCCATGTTCCATCCCCCTCAGGCAGCCGCTTTAGGGTGAAGTAATTTGTCAGACTCCTAAATGTCACACTGTGACATTCATGTCCAAAACCAAATACTGAACATACTCACAGATGGATCTGAGGCTGTATTCTCAGGAGTGTATTTGATCTTCATGAAAGTGCTTCTGCTAGAAAATACTGTGATGATGCCTTCCAGGCACAAATATTGAGACTATTGATTACCACTCCACTAGCTCTGCTAGGTCGCAGGCAAAGAAAGAGAACAGCTAAATGTCAAAAGATCTGCCAATGTTCAAACTTTCAGACCTTTCTTTCCAATTCATTTACAGTGTTATCAGGAGGAAGGAAATAGCAAGACTACCTTACTCCCCTTCCTTAGGAGGGCAGGGGAAAGAAAGAAGGTAAGAAAAACACAACTCTAGCTGCTGGATCAAAGCAAACATACATAAACTACAAAAAAGTAGTAGTACTTTGGATTTGTGCATACTATTTATTTTATAACAGGTACTGTGCATAATCTGCCAACCTTCCACTGGTTCTGTGCAATATGTATATCTAAGGAAACTGTGGAGTACGAAGAGTGGTGCTATATTTTATACTGAGAGGGAAAGGCCAGACCGAAAAGGAAACCTGCCTCCAGGTAGGTTGCTTTCAGAACATTAAAGCACAAACACTAGGGCTGTGTCTACACTGGGGCACTTATTCTGGAAAATCAGCTGCTTTTCTGGAATAAGCTGCGAGCTGTCTACACTGGCCCTTGAATTTCCGGAAAAGCAACGACTCTCTACTGTACAAAATCAGCCGCTATTCCGGAAAAGCTATGCTGCTCCCGCTCGGGCATAAGTCCTTATTCCGGAAAACTGTTCCAGAAAAGGGCCAGTGTAGACAGCCCAGTAGTCTTTTCCAGAAAAAAGCCCCGATCGCGAAAATGACGATCGGGGCTCTTTTCCAGAAAAGCGCGTCTACATTGGCCGCAGATGCTTTTCCGGAAAAAGGACTTTTCCGGAAAAGCAGCCTGCCAATGTAGACGCTCCTTTTCCGGAAAAACTGAAAACGGAATAGTATTCCGTTTTAAGCATTTCCGGAAATTCACGCAAGTGTAGACACAGCCTAGGATAATGAAATCACTAGCTCCCATATTAAACACAGGAGGAAGAGATGTGGAGCCACATGGAACCACAGGCCATGCATTGTCTATCTTGCATTATTTCTTTGTTCCTGACTCTTGCACTGAGTGGCTTTAACAAAATTCTACCTTTCATAGCACATACTGCAGGGGAATGAAGCCTCGTTAAAAAAGAGAAGATTCATGCTCCCTTTCTTTGCCATATAATAAAACGGGCTAACAGAAGAACGGAGGTGGCCCAAACTTAGAAAAGTCTGTAGCACAGCTGGAACTAGAAACTGTGCCTTATGTTGCTGACACAAAACTACCGTCCAACAATAATCCATGTGTTTGTTGTATTTCTGTATCCTGTCCCAATACATTTTTTTAAGAAGCTAAATTAAAGCTTCAATATGAAAAGTGTTTTTCATGTTTTTTAACTTTTCCACTGGAATGCAAGCACACATTAGCAAATTACTAAAATGCTCTGATATTAGTACAATAGTAATTACTACAGCATATTTAAAAAAATCATTAAAATAAATAATTCTCTCAGATCACTTGGAGGGGATAAGAAGTTACTAGTAGTTTTGAAACATCTCACTGTAAACTAAGGATGTTAAAATGGGGTTAACTGACTAATCGATGGAATTTCCGTTGGTGATCTTGTACATTTCAAAGGAGGAATGTGGAACTCTGCGTACAGCCCGGGGCCAGCGGGAAGACCTGCTGACTCTGGGTTGCATGAGGATGCTTTCTCTGAAATGCACAAGAGCGCCTGTGGCTCTCATGCATTTTAGAGCCATAGAGCCCAGGATCAGCGGGGGATTCCCCAGCTGATCCTGGGCTCCCTGTGGCATTTCCCTAGAATCAGGGATCAGCTGGTCTGTGGATCAGCTGTCTGGCAGCTGTCCCTTTGAACCATGCAGCTGCGTGATTCAAAGGCGCAGCTGGGGACTCCCAACTGACCCCAGGCTCCTAGAGGCATACAGTGTAACATGGAGCCCGGGATCAGTGGAGGACTCTGAGTCCCCCGCTGTTCCTAGGCTCCATGACTTTGAAATGCACAAAAGCCCCACTGGGGGAGCAGATCATCATAAATTGTTTATACCAAGGCATACACATTATCTTACATACCTTATTGTCAGTTCTAATTGTAACTTTCAGTTGTGGAAGAACACGTTCCACTTCCAGGTTCCACTCCGCTGCATCTGTTGTGGACTCTAAAATCTCTTCTTGTTTTGTGGATTCATTCATATCCTAAACAAACATGTCAAGTTTTCTAAATTTCAAAAGAAAACAATTGCTAGGCGATCAAGTTACAATGGCTTAAGATATTCAGAACAGGGAGAAATGTTCATGCTTAGGAAAACTTACAACTGTTTGATTTTATTAGTTTATGATTGTTGTTTTTGTACCTGTAAGTATTAGGATTTAAAACCTCTTCTCTGATTTTATTAAGCATTAAAATGAATGAATAAAATACTACTGGTAAAATAACAAATATGAAACTATTCTAGACCCAATTAAGAAAAATACAACATAGGAACATGGTGTTATTAAAGTTCTTGGAAGCTGATTCTTCAAGGATTCATATAATTTTGAAAGATTCTGCAGTTTAGAAACCTGACATAATAGTGTCTTACAATAAGTCGGTCCTCTGTAATTTTTTTTTTGTATTTAGACTATCAGTGTTTTCAAGGGACAAAAATCAAGTGACCGCCTTTATTCATAACAAACTGCAAAACTAAATGTAAAGATCTGCTATTCTTTATCAAAATGCTAATAGGTAACAGCTTACCGATCTATATGTTTGTGCTTTTAGAACATTCAGATCAATAAAGTTCTCTTCATTGTCTGTCTCTTCTTCCTTAAAAGAAAAATTGCAAAACATTTAATTAGTAAATATTGCATTGTTTTCCTTCAAAAATCTCAGCTTTTTCTGAACCAAAGCAGAACAAGTAATATTTTTCAAGTTTTTGTAAAATAGCCAGGAGTTTCTGAAAGTACAGCTTGTGTTTATTAAAATTCATATTAACACATGCAGCATCTCTGGTTAGCATGTTTCTTTTATAGAAGTTTTAGATTTTAGCTGAGATTTTAAAGGGAAAAATAAGACAGATTCCCAAGACTCTTGAAAAATTACATCCTTAATTCATTTGCCAAATGGAAGTAACAGTCTATTCAGCACAAGTAATATGATATCTTACATTAACACCACAAGACAGATCTATGCCAATGATCAGCTCAGCTCTGGTGTAAATGACTAAATCTACACTTTGTGCCCGAGCAAAATTTGGTCCATAAGCACAATCCAGCTACCTTTAAGCTCTGCTGGGTCTGTTTTTGCCAAGTATGAAACACAGTGAGGGTGTGATCTATGACTGGGTACTACAGTAATATAAATAATAATATTGTAAGACTCAAAGGCTAAATAGGGCTGTAGAATAGACCGTCTAATTCTCCCGAAGGAGTCTTCAAACGTGTTACTTATTAAATGAAATGTGATTCAGTACCAGTTTTCTACATTTTAATAAAACTATTAAACATAAAATCAAGAAAGCGTATCATTAAATCTAAACACTACTAAACTAAATATAAAAGTATGCCAGATGGGAATTAAATCTTCACATTAATACAACAAATATTCCTTATAATTCCAAAAAGAAATCTAAGTAGGTGGTTTCCCATTGGCTAAAAATTCCAAAGAAAGAGCTTTACCACCAATGGCAGTGAAATCTAAACTTAGAGCTGGCTGAATATTTTATAATTGAAAACAAATTATTGTTTAAATTCTTTTAAATCATAACTTCAAAGCCAAATAAAAGCTTCCTCTTAGATTTTAATTGTGTGGTTTTCCTTGCTACCAGCACAAATCATATAGCCCCCAATAAAATACTCCAGCAAGTGGAAGTCTGACAACTCTTACAGTTTACAGCTGACAGCATAGTGTTTTTTAGGTTTCTCAAAAAGAGAACACATTTTACTGAGCACTGTTAGGAAGCTGAGTTTAGGATTGTTTAAATCTATAAAATTTTCTTTCTTGTGCCTTCTTTGTGTAGATTGTATGGGTACTCACATGCATCTATACAACCACATTTTCCCACCCTAAGATTAAAGAACAAAAGGCTTGGCTGTTTCCCAGCTGATAGAAACAAAAATAAAAATGAGATACTTAAGATAACAAGGATCTGCAAACTCTTCAATTCTTGCAGTCCTTTAGACTCTGCTGGAGTAGGAACTGAGACTGCAGTCAAAGAGCCAGATGTTACTGGCACAGCACTTCTCACTAGTGAGACCTTGTTGAAGGTAGGGGGACAGATCAAAAGGCTTGCATAGCGTATTAGTCAATGTCTTTACTTCATCTACCTAGAGCACCTGGCCTTCCCTTAGGTGGTTTGACGACCCAACAGGGAAACGTCTCTATTTTATCCTTAATTCTTTAGCTTTGTGAGTTTTGCTTATTCAGCCTCGTACACCTCTCTCCAATGACTTTTGACAAATCAAGTGCCAAGCTAACTCATGTTTGAGTAACATCATGTTTCAGTTAGCATCATATTTGGGGATAAGTACTATTTAAGCCAATGATTTAAAAAAAATATTCAGTCTTTGCGTCCACAGAGGCTGCAAATCCATGACACCAAAAAAAACCCAAAACATGTAGAACGGAGGCCATTTGAAGATGCTAACGTGATCTCATCCAGAAGAAAAGATTCTGTGATGTCAGACCACTAATTTATCAACAGTTAAGACATCAAATCCTACAAAAATACCTGAATAAAATAGACCCAGAGCAATCAAATAATTACTCAATATACAGCTATCAACATAAATTAAAAATACATTTGTACATCTTATATTGCAACCTTACAATATTTTGCATACTTTGGAACTAGGCGAGAACAACTTTCAAACTTAACTGAAAAAGTACTTTGATGTATATCAGCAAAGAATTAATTTACAATAGAAATAACTGAATCATACATGAAGTCTACCTTTGTATACACTCAGAAGGGTAGATGTGTTAGTCTTTAGGGTAGATGTGTTAGTCTGTAGCTATGAAAACAACAAGTAGTCCTGTGGCACCTTAAAGACTAACTGATTTATTTGCGCAATTTATTTATTTTGCATCAAACAGTGGTTTTTATCCACAGAAACTTGTACCACAGGACTCCTTGTTGTTCTGTAGACACTGTTTTTTCTTACAGAGCTCTTTCTTTTGGAGATGGATTGGACCTCAGACTGCAAATGCTTGATTCAGAAAATATATCTTGTTCTAAAACTACTATTTAGGTTTCTAGACTATTTGCGTAAAAAGAGTTGTAGGAGTGAGCCCTGCATTTGTGCAGAGGTATGTGACTTTTTGGCAATAGACCAGTTTCTGAAGTCCAAACAAAAACATCTATTAACATAAATTAGAGTTTGCCTTAATAGAAACAAAGCACCTCAGGACTCAGTCCCATAGGAAATAATATATTTATTTTTATTTCTATATCACAATAAATTTCTATGAGGCTTTACAATATCTGCTCATGCAGATGAATACAGATGTCCTGCCTTGTAAGGTTCACAAACTACAGCACCATGCCCCAAATTAAAATAAGAACAAGAGGAAATAAAAAGGAGCTGAAAACACAGGAAAGTCAAGGGGGGGGGGGAAGGAAAGAGGAGGGAATGGAAAAATTAACAAATAAAAACAACCCACCAAAACAATAAAATACAGAACACTAGAACTAAAAGAAAAAGCTTACAGTTGGTAAGTACAAGTAAAACAGGAAAAGAAAAGTCATATGGACCTACTGCAATTTCCTCCTCCAGTTTATTAAGGGTCAATTCTGCATCATCTTCTGTTATTGCTTCTTCTTCTAGCTCCTCTGTTGGGTATGCTGGTCTGAAATAATATAAATATTCACAGAATAGAATAGCTTTCAAAACACACAGTAAATGTACTTCTCAGGAAGAATTACAAGCAAACACAATTCTTAGGCTGAAGCAAAATGCAGGACAATGTAGCACTTTAAAGACTAACAAGATGGTTTATTAGATGATGAGCTTTCGTGGGCCAGATCTGAGGAAGTGGGTCTGGCCCACGAAAGCTCATCATCTAATAAACCATCTTGTTAGTCTTTAAAGTGCTACATTGTCCTGCATTTTGCTTCAGCCTAATCACATGCATCCTACTCTCTTAGGCGTGAGAGTTATGGATGCTGTCTATGCCCAGGTATAATGAAGCACAGTGATGAAGAATCTGATGTAGACACAACACACAACAAACTTGACCTGAAAAAAATGTGGCTACTTTAGGCTTAGAACTCAGAGCATGGATTCATTATTGTGCCAAACCTTAGAATTTCTCTGTTGTGAAGGTTCAGATTCATTTTCTCTTATGACTTAAACTTTGTTAATAAAAAAATTAATCGCTGGGGACTCATGCTTGAACCTTGTGAGGTTAAGTAATACATAATAGTAAACAGTATAATATGTTAACCATTACACTCATTTTTTCTCTACCATTTCAGACCCAAACTTTTTTTTAAAAAGTGTTCTTGAATGAATTTTCACTTCCTGGAAATTTTTTTCCATTTACCTTTCTTCCAAAATTTCCACCTGATCACAATATGTATTCAGTTTATTATTTAATTGAATCTAGACTCAAAAGTATGCTTTACTTTCTATTGAGAGAGTAAAAAATTAGGTAATAAGATTATTACAAAACATCACTCACTCAAATGTTTGAGGAGCAAAAAAATAATTCTATACAGGATGATAAATAAGAGCTATTGAACTAATTTACCTAATCTAATCTAGTCAGATCAAAGAAGCAAACAACTGTCCAAATTGAGATCTGGTGTAATTTCACCCAACTAAGTGGGAGTTTATATTAGGAATTAATGTATTCCAATATTACAAGCCTGACTGTACTCATCTTGTGAGCCTAGTGTGTAACCGCAAATAAAGATTTAACACTTTTTATAGGCTTATTATGTGTACATGGGATCTGCTATCTTGTACAATTGGCATTTGTTCATTTGAAAACAAGTTTTACAGAGGGATTCTTATAAGTACACTATACCTTTTCCAGCTAAAGCCAATATGTTTCAAGGCTTCTTCAGCTAAACAATCAAGAGCATAACATGCTTGCTCTCCATAGCCTGCCTTTAACTTTGATGGAGGAAAATCCACAGACCTTCCCTAAAACAAAGAGAGAGATGATCACCGGCCAGCAGTTACTGTTTTCTGTCAGACAGGTAACCAGATTTTCTTCACTAATACCAAAGTATTCACAGCATCTGGTGCTTCTATAATTTCTACCCATTTTTAAAATTAACTATCTCTTTATTAAGTTTTAACAGGTTTACAAATTCTTGCCATATAAATATGAGAGACAAAACAATAATCATAACAGGGAGCTTTAATTTAGAGAAACTTTATTCTGTAATATAATCATCAGATTTTTATTACCATATTTCAGAGTTAGCATCATTACACTACTCCATGACATGTTGTTTCCAATTATTTTATGCAGTGAAACCACTAATTACACATATTTAACAAATGAGGCATGTCTATTACAATAATTCTCATTAGGAATGCTGGTTTTGTTTTGGGCAAATGAATTCAAGTTGAGAATTGTGTAGATACAGTAAACTTCCGATAATCCGGCACCTTTAGGACCCAGGGGGTGCCGGATTATCAGATATGCCGGACTATCAGAAGGGGGGGCTATGAGGGGTCTGGAGTAGGGTGGGAGGGGATGCCACCCCAGACCCCGCAGCACTCCAGCTACTCTG